TTTTCATCAACTATAGAAAAAACACTTTTACAACTGTATTTTGTTTAAATATGAAGACAGACTCTTACGGTTCCATCTCTTCTCACAATTTATTATTCCCTAACAATGTGAACTTTATCTTCTCTGTTATCATCAGAGGCATTTTGACTTTTCCAGAATCACAGAGAGAATGAAATGTCTGTCAGGTGTTCTGTAACTAGTTTATGAGCTGATTCTACAAGTTAAACGAGTGCTAAAAATATTATGATTGCTTATTTTGTTCCTTGGAAGCTAAGTGATATATTCAGATATTGTCCCTTCCTGTCTAAGCCCAGCATCACAGCATCTGTGCCATTCAATATAAATGTGATTCAATGTTAAGTGAAATCTTCTTTTTTATACATCAATAATTGCCTTAACCCTACCTAGGTTTGCCTGTAGACTGTTAGTCTATCTATAGACCAATTTCCCTTATCTCTCTTTTATAAAAATTAGGTTTATTTCTACCTGGTATGTAAAGCATAAAAACTGTGCATATGAAGTAACGCAATGGTTTGATAGCTGTATATATTGTGTAATGTTTAAATTTGGCTAAACATTTACCTTCTCAAACATTTATCATTTCTTTATGGGTTCACAATCCTTTCTTCTAGCTTTTTAAAGGTATATTATTGTTATCTATAGTCACCCTATTATGCAATAACACCCCAGAAAATCTTACTCCTGCTAACTATAACCTCATACCCATTGACAAAATTTCTGCACACTCCCCAACCGCTAATACCCACTCTCAACTTCTTTGCAATCAACTTTGTTAGAACTCACCTATGAGTGAAATCATGCCACACTTGTCTTTCTCTTCCTCACTTATTTCACTCAACATAATGATCTTCAACTCTATCCATGTTGTTACAAATGTCAGGATTTAATTCTTTTTATGGCTCTATATATTTCTATTGTGTATATTGCCATGCTCTCTTTATCTGTTTATCAGTTGATGGACATTTAGGTCGTTCTCATTTCTTGAAAGCCATGCATAGTGCTACAATGAACATGGAGTGTAGATGTCTCTTCTACATACACAGATTTCATTTCTTTTTTTTTTTTTTTTTTGTAGTACTGGGGGTTGAACGTAGGTCTTGTGCTTGCTAGCCCGGCACTCAACCACTTGAGCCACTGCACCAGCCCTACAGATTTCATTTCCTTTGGATATATACCCACTAGTGGGACTGCAAAATCAAAAGGTAGCTCTATTTTTATTTTGTTGAGAAACTTCCACATTGGTTTCCAAAAACGCTACACTCATTTCCATGTCCACGAATTTGTCACTGAGATCTCCCTCTTGTTGCTGTCTGTCTGTTCTGGAATAAGTGTTCTCAAGGTATACTGAATCATTTTCATTCTGGGACATGAAGTCATTATTTTGTTGATCTCATGTTTTCCTCTGTCTTGATTTACTCACTTATTTTGTGGCAATATATCCTCAAGTAATAAGAAAGATTGCCTTGTAGGTAAATTTCTAGAAAGTTCACATGTCAGAAAATATCCTTATTTTGTCTTCCTCTGGTTTTTCTTCCTCAGTATAAAGCACTGAGTATTGTGTTCCAGCATCCAGTGTGGGCGTTGGGAAGCCCAATTCTAATCTAATTCTTGTTTGTTTGAATGTGACCCTGCAACTCTTTCTCTGAAAAGTTTCTTTCAATTTATTCATTTTTATTAGAATATATTCCTTGTATATAAGGGATTCATTGTGGCAATTCCAAATAAGTTTATATTGTACTGTACATTGATTAAATTTTCTAATATTTCACAGTAATTGTTTTAGGAGTAGATCTTTTTTCTTTCACTATGATATCCCCTTTTAATGTGAATAGCTAGAGTTTATAACTGGAGAAATTCCATATACAACTTCTTTGATAATTTTCTCTTCTTTTTCTCTCTACTTTTATTCTAGAAAGTTCAGTTTTTAGATGTTGGAGGTTCTGAAGTGATGATCCTGGAGGTCACCATATTTTTTCTTTTATTTTCAATTTTATCATTTTCATTTTAATTTTTGGCATATCTTCTTTTATCTTCCTGATTTTAAACCGTGCAATCATATTTTTAATTTCAAATAGGTCTTTTATGTTTTCTTCTCATAGTCCGAAATTTATAGTATACAAACTTCTCTGAAGGCAGTAGGGTCAATTCTCTTTTATCAGGACACTACTTTTTTTCTGTACTTTTACCTAATAATTCCTATACTAAGTTTTGAATCTATCTGATAATCCATGATATTCATTAAGTTTTACATTTTTGAACACTAATCTCCATGGCAGGTCTGTATTTAAAGTAGAGCTTGACACTTCTTTCCATAGCTCATAGACAGGGAGACTACCAATGTCATTGTGCAGAACCTCTTATGGGAGGTCACCCTAAGTATTTTCAACAAGTAATTAACACAGTTGTGTAGGGTTTTTTAAACGTGCCTTTTGAGGTCCTGCATCTAGGATGAAGGTACATGTTCATAGGCTTGGTTTAGTGGTGCTTGTGTTTCCAATGTCCTGTCTTACTCCCAACACTTTTTCAACCTGTTTTTCTGAATCCCTTAGTTTGCTCCTTCAAGGTAAGCCTCTCCCTGCTGGGGTATGGCCCCTTCTGCATAGACCCTGAAGCATCTTACTTTATCTACATCTTTAATGACCACTTTCAATAACCATTGCCTTCCAGAAATTTGCTATAATTTCTCCACTAATGGCTCATGTACTGCTTTCTTTTCTTTTTGTTTTTGTGCTACTATACTATTATTTTAATGGGATCATGGAAAAGAAAGGAGATGAAAGCATGTTTTAGTCCATCATTTTAAGCTACAATTACTTTTTCATGATTAAGAAAAAATCATGTTTAGTTTTGTAGCATTTTGTTTGGGCGAATAGAGGAATACCTTTGTATTTATTTCAATCTATGTATTTTTGAAATTTTTCATGTTCTTATCACTTATAAATTTGGAAATATTTATGTAGGACATCATTAAATAGTATATTACTTTCACTTATCTATCACATATTTTGATCATATACTCAACTAGATCCATTCAGAATGCATTAACTGTTTGCTGGTTAAAATTCACTCTGCTTTACTCATGTGATTTTCATATGTTTATAGAAAGTTGAATTTATATGTTCTAAACAGGTTTAACCAAAATTCTTAACATTCAATATAATGCCATTAAATCTTCTGAATAAACTTCCTTGCTTTCTCAAGTCTCAGGAAATTATAAAGCAATTTTATGATATAATTATGACAGCACATTTAGCTTGTTTCACAAAAGGTGGAGAGTGTATTCAACTAAGGTTTCTTTTTTTTTCTTAGACTGAGACAATTTTTTTATTTTTTAATAAATTTTTATTAGGATATATTCATGATACAGGGGGATTCATAGTGACAATTCGATTAGACTTATATTGTACATTGTTTACATCACCCCCATCGTCTCTCCCCCTCAGCTTCCTTCCCACCTCACTTAAAGCAATTGCAAGAGGTTTTCTAGTATATAAAGTCCATCTACCATATACTGTCACCTTAATCTCCTTCGTTCACCTTCTCCCCTTCCATTAATACCTGCCAACCTGCACACACTGTGCCTGTTTTACAGTCCTGGATTTCATAATTAATATTTGAGTTGATGTTCAGAGGGGTGTCTCAATGTATGTCCTCTATGGTTGTGCTTTACTTTGGTCTGTTCAACCCCTTCAAATACTCTCCCTTACCCCTTTACCTCCCAGCCCCCCATTCTTCAATATCTTTCATTTCTTGAAATGCTAGAGATGACTGAATTTGTACTTAATCGCTGAAATAATAGAGCAAAGTAAGTTATCTTCCTAACTACACAGCTTAGTATCCTGTCAATTACAAGTCATTTTTATGAGGAACATAGGTAGAGAAACACGTATCAAAATAAGCTCCAAACTAAAATCATTTTTGCCATTTATTTGTCTTAAGTGCTTGTTTATCATCTAGACATACAGGAACCAATAGTAACTAACTAGACATTTATGAAGTCTAAGGAAAGGCAGAGGAGGACAGAAGACACATGGAACAAATAAGACCCAAAAAGGTAAAAAAAAAAATTTTTAAAGATGATGAAGAAGAAGGAAGAAGAGAAGGCAGTGGAGGGGGAGGAAGAGAAAAGAAATAAATGGACAGAAAGAGTATTCTTTTGTTTAGACCAAGGTCAACATTTGTAGGTAGTCAGATTAACTTTCATAACATAAACAATAAATCACTTTTAAACTTTAAAAATCTCACAGCAGAAGGGTTTCTCTTTGAATCCTAGCTATTCTTAACATCTTATTCACAGTTAGGGTGATAAATTTTTTTTTCAAGAAACTCCTAAGTTTTTCATTATATATATTGCATTTCAGTATCTTTCACTTTTGTGGCACTGGAGGCTCAAGATTTTGGATTTTTATTCCTTGCATAATAATGGCTGCTCTGTTAGGCCCTGATAGCTATACTTTTAACCCATTAAAACTCTAGCTATTTCAGGTAGAGTTTGAACTGATGGAATATTTCACTGTTATAATCTATAAGGATATTTTTCATGTGGCTACTCATTCACCAGCACAAATTGAAAGTAAGCTTTTAAAGTCCTGTCTGGTTTGTGTAAGTTATCTGAGGTCACAGAGTGTGGGGGAAGAGGAAAGACAGGGGTTACTGGTGATCAGATGCACAGGCCCCCAGAGAATTAATTTAATTTTTCTTACTTTGCTACTTAGATGAAACAGCTGCAAAATTGATGTCATTCCAGATTACATAGATAATTTTTCTCTGAAAATTCCATCGAAGCAGGAAGTCACAGCTCATATTATGGTGAAATGCACTGCAGCCAGTATGAAAGATACTTCGTGAAGAATATATGATATTAATCCCATTAATTTGCTTTGTTTTATAATCCCACACTTTGCTATTGGTATGTGCACTTGTGTTGGAATTATTGCCTGTGTTCACAAACATGTTTATGTTTCTCTCTCTGATTTCAGCGTGTGGGAAATTGATGAAAATCACCGGTCCCATCACAGTCAAGACTTCTGGAACTCGATTTGGCGCTTGGATGACAGATCCTTTAGCTTCTGAGAAAAATAACCGAGTATGTTGCTTTCACAGATGTCTTTGTTTAGAATTACGTTTTGTTTACACTTTCCCCCCGGATTATTCATTTGTATATTGGCTCCACCTGGAAGCATGCTACATTATTTGCAAATATTTTCCATTTGGAAATACCAACATATCTAAAATTACATGACAAATCCATTTTACTGAAATGTCCCATTTTATAGTTCACCAGCATGGTTATTCTAATTTTTGATTTGAGTCTTGTTTTCTGTTTGGACAGTGCTAATTACAAGTGCACAAAATTCCCTGTATATTCTTTATAAAACATGACTTCAGTGTGACAAAATACCACTAAATACTGAAAAACTTATGAGCTAACCAATTCACTAAATAAAACCAATATATCCTGGAAATCTAAAGACAATTTCAAAAGAAGTAACACTGAAGTTTAGGGAGAATGTTTTCATAAGTTGTCAATGCCTGCATTGCATAAACCGATATACTAGGAACTTGCCATACCTCTATTAATTGCAGGTCTTAGCACACATTTGGATTCTCAATGGTTACATTCAAATAAGATTTGTTCTTTAATTAGCAAAATGGTTTATTTAAAAGGAAGTTGCACCAACAAACTGATCCAATGAACACATGTTACTAGAAGTTTCTGTGGTACATATACAATAAAAATAAGTTGAATAAGCAAAATTAGACTACATATTTTTTTCAGAAAAAGAAGTGGAATAATGATAATTTTCAGTTGTCATTGATCACATTCACCTGTCAGGTGGTATAATCTGCACTGGCATATGTTTGGTTTACTTAGCAATATGCACTAAATAGCCAAAAAAAGAAAGAAGAGAGAAAAAGAAAATGAACTTATAGGCAGGAAATTCACCTGTGTCTGTTCTACACAGACCATGCTAATATTTTTACAAAAACCTACAACACTTTAATATCAATTGTAGCAATTAGTGTAATGTAACATTAATCAATTATAATATCAATTGTAGCAGTTAAGAAGCAAGATCATTTCTTAAAATTATAATATTAATATGTGTTGACTCTCATTGTCTTTACTTTGGAATTCTCATAAAAGTACAAAACTTAGTCACTCCATTTTTTCTCTTCTTCTCAGGTCTGGTACATGGACAGTTACACTAACAATAAAATTGTCCGTGAGTACAAGTCCATCGCAGACTTTGTCAGTGGGGCTGAATCAAGGACATACAACCTCCCTTTCAAGTGGGCAGGAACTAACCATGTTGTGTACAATGGCTCACTCTACTTTAACAAATATCAGAGTAACATCATCATCAAATACAGCTTGGACTTGGGGAGAGTGCTTGCCCAACGAAGCCTAGAATATGCTGGTTTTCACAACGTTTACCCCTACACATGGGGTGGATTCTCTGACATCGACCTAATGGCTGATGAAATCGGGCTATGGGCTGTGTATGCAACTAACCAGAATGCAGGCAACATTGTCATCAGCCAACTGAACCAAGATACCTTGGAGGTGATGAAGAGCTGGAGCACGGGCTATCCCAAGAGAAGTGCAGGAGAATCTTTCATGATCTGTGGGACCCTGTATGTCACCAACTCCCACTTAACTGGAGCCAAGGTGTATTATTCCTATTCCACCAAAACCTCCACTTATGAGTACACAGACATTCCCTTCCATAATCAATATTTTCACATATCAATGCTTGACTACAATGCAAGAGATAGAGCTCTTTATGCCTGGAACAATGGCCACCAGGTCCTGTTCAATGTCACCCTGTTCCACATCATTAAGACTGAGGATGACACATAGGCAGATGTCATCTATCTAAAGGACATATGTTTGTCCTCTATCTAAACACTGTCATTTGTGATAAACTCTGTAGGATCTTGTCTGTCTATTTCTTTATTATGACTTTTCATCATTTCTCAAAAGCAAACCATTTTTTATTGTAAATTTGGTGTTTCAAAAGAGCAGCCAAGTCTGTCTAAGTTAGCTTGTTGGAAATGCATCTTAACTCCTAAATTTATAAGGCCTATCATGTCCTTGTCATGAAAAGCACTAAAAAGAGTTTAAGTGGCTGAAGTCATAATTTTGCAAAAGATTAATGATCTGCCTTATATTAGAGTCATAGACTAATGGTGGCTTTAAATGCATGAATGTCCTTTTTATTTTTTTAACTGTCATCTTTTACTGTCTTATGCTCCACATCAGGAAATATTTTAGTAAGAATTAGGGTTAAAAAAAACAGCACTTTCCCCCATTTATTTCTTGAAAAACAGATTTAAGGATTTCATTTATATGGAAAATAGTATTCATCATTTTGCTGTTAACACAATTCTCTGATGCGGTGCTGTACAGCCGTTTTTAGATCTCTTGCTAACATTTTACTGACAATATGTATTTCTACCATTGTAACCACCATTGTGAAATTGTATTTCTTCACTTCTGTGAAAGTAATATTTTTTATAAAAAATACACTGAAATTTAATCTCAGTTATTATTTGAGTCAATTTTCAAGTGTGGTCAAGAAGAATCTTCTTGACTCACCCCTTTGCATAATAAACTAAAAAGAAAATCAGACCAGATATCCTGCTCACTGAAAGCTTCACATACAATTGCTTGCAAAGATGTAACTGAGTTACAAAAATTGGATTCGAGCTGACTCTACTCGTTTGTTTATACAAATGCACATCTTATTCTTCATAATTAAATATATTAGCATTCTAATTTATATTTTACATGTAACTTGCTATGCAATTCCTTGTATCATAATTATAAAATTACATGAAGCACATGAAAACTCTAAAAAGAAGAAAATTTCTGTAATGTCCTCTAGATTTACATTAGGAGACCTGGAGTGTCGTTGTCAAGCTGTGCAAAAGAAAATGATGAAAAGACTTGGGAGCTGTCTGTTTGGTTTCAAATGTGTAAATAATGAATTCAGAAAATGAGATGAGGAGGTCAATTCATTGTCCCAGCCTCATTGTACCGGCAGAAATAATGTAATCAAAAAAGGAAAGCTTTAATAATACTTTATGTGAATAATTCTACAAAGCATATATCAAACATGTCTTTGAGTTTGGATGTATTCCATACTTTGAAAAGACTTTCTCTAAGACAGCTTTATGGACACTTATAGTGGTTTTACAATTCAAGAAGTAGAGTCTATGATAAATAATACATACCTTAAATTATTATGTTGAGTTTCATGCACACATGATACCACAATTTTCTTTGAAAAATAAATAATTTGGGGGGGGGGGGGGGGGGGGGGGGGGGGGGGGGGGGGGGGGGGGGGGGGGGGGGGGGGGGGGGGGGGGGGGGGGGGGGGGGGGGGGGGGGGGGGGGGGGGGGGGGGGGGGGGGGGGGCGGGGGGGGGGGGGGGGGGGGGGGGGGGGGGGGGGGGGGGGGGGGGGGGGGGGGGGGGGGGGGGGGGGGGGGGGGGGGGGGGGGGGGGGGGGGGGGGGGGGGGGGGGGGGGGGGGGGGGGGGGGGGGGGGGGGGGGGGGGGGGGGGGGGGGGGGGGGGGGGGGGGGGGGGGGGGGGGGGGGGGGGGGGGGGGGGGGGGGGGGGGGGGGGGGGGGGGGGGGGGGGGGGGAGAGGGGGGGGGGGGGGGGGGGGGGGGGGGGGGGGGGGGGGGGGGGGGGGGGGGGGGGGGGGGGGGGGGGGGGGGGGGGGGGGGGGGGGGGGGGGGGGGGGGGGGGGGGGGGGGGGGGGGGGGTGGGGGGGGGGGGGGGGGGGGGGGGGGGGGGGGGGGGGGGGGGGGGGGGGGGGGGGGGGGGGGGTGGGGGGGGGGGGGGGGGGGGGGGGGGGGGGGGGGGGGGGGGGGGGGGGGGGGGGGGGGGGGGGGGGGGGGGGGGGGGGGGGGAAGGGGGGGGGGGGGGGGGGGGGGGGGGGGGGGGGGGGGGGGGGGGGGGGGGGGGGGGGGGGGGGGGGGGGGGGGGGGGGGGGGGGGGGGGGGGGGGGGGGGGGGGGGGGGGGGGGGGGGGGGGGGGGGGGGGGGGGGGGGGGGGGGGGGGGGGGGGGGGGGGGGGGGGGGGGGGGGGGGGGGGGGGGGGGGGGGGGGGGGGGGGGGGGGGGGGGGGGGGGGGGGGGGGGGGGGGGGGGGGGGGGGGGGGGGGGGGGGGGGGGGGGGGGGGGGGGGGGGGGGGGGGGGGGGGGGGGGGGGGGGGGGGGGGGGGGGGGGGGGGGGGGGGGGGGGGGGGGGGGGGGGGGGGGGGGGGGGGGGGGGGGGGGGGGGGGGGGGGGGGGGGGGGGGGGGGGGGGGGGGGGGGGGGGGGGGGGGGGGGGGGGGGGGGGGGGGGGGGGGGGGGGGGGGGGGGGGGGGGGGGGGGGGGGGGGGGGGGGGGGGGGGGGGGGGGGGGGGGGGGGGGGGGGGGGGGGGGGGGGGGGGGGGGGGGGGGGGGGGGGGGGGGGGGGGGGGGGGGGGGGGGGGGGGGGGTGGGGGGGGGGGGGGGGGGGGGGGGGGGGGGGGGGGGGGGGGGGGGGGGGGGGGGGGGGGGGGGGGGGGGGGGGGGGGGGGGGGGGGGGGGGGGGGGGGGGGGGGGGGGGGGGGGGGGGGGGGGGGCAGTAGT